ATAGATAAATTCATTAATTGTTTAAATGAGGACAAAGTATCGTGAAACGTAAGACAGTAAAAGCAAATCAATATTAGCATTGTTGTATACAATTGAAATGGAGTGGAGTATCGGACTCCACCCTACACTTCACTTTCACAAAATGCGTCACCACTAAGCTTAGAATAAGTCAATGTCCATTGCAGTGGCGGACTAACTCCATTGGGGCCCGGGGCGGCAAGTAACCTGCCCCCCACTCCGCTGCAGGCTGTACTTATTTGTCTTCGTCTTATTTGTCTCCAACCGGAATTTATAATGTGATCAAGGGATTTTGCAACCATTTGGAGGCCCCTCAGAACCGGAGACCCGGCCGCTCCCGCTCCGCCCCTCTTAGTGCGTCACTGGACCATTGAACTCACTATTGGTCAGTTGCAAGATAATGACGCATTTAAGTTCTAATGAATGTCAAATTTGTATTGGTAATGTCGCTTTAAACTAATGAACGTTTGTGCAACCGGTTGTGAGTCCATTATTAATACTAATTCCACGCCAACAAAGACAATTTTATACTTTCTGTGCTCAGTATCTGTGTAACTATGTGATGTTTGTTGTCAAATAAATATGTTTTTTCGATGGCGTAGGGTTTAGCGCGCTCGGTCTGCGATACGATTGTAAAGCAACTGTAGCGATGGCCGGTAATAGGATGGAGTGACCGAACATTTATTATCTGGAACTCCCCCGTTATTCGGGAAGGATGTCAAGACGTTGGTCTTGGCTGCATCAGTAGTCGTTAATATCCGCGCTGGGTCTTAGTGGTGGGTCATGTGCCATTCTCCTTTAATCGATTCCATAGGGAAGGATTGAGCTCCAGCAGTGGGAACATTAATAGTCTGATAATTATGAAATATATTTTCCAATAAAACATTATGAGGAAACGTACAAGAAACAGCAGCTAGGTGAATAGCGAAGCGAACAAGAAGCGGTCCCAAACTACCAATTTAATGTTATTCAAACAATTTGCATTTAGTTGAGAGCTCTGTTGTAAGAGGATTTTCTGTAGAATACGCCCCATTATGGTAACTACTGGAATAAATTTGCTAGTATTTAAAAGAGTCTTAATATATTAATGTTGGTTACATTTTTAACCGACGAAAAACAGATAATTTATAGAATTCTCTAGAGAACCTTCTAGAGAATTCTATAAATTCTATTTATTTATATAAAACACGTAGAACTTTATTTCATTTGGAAAACATACAGTGTCAACATAACTAGAAGTATGGAACCCTGTTACTAAGACTTCGCTGTATGTCCGTCTGTCACCAGGTTGTCTCTCATGAACCATGATAGACAGACAATTGAGATATTCACAGATATAGTATTTAGAGCAGTCGCCCGGATAGCGAAAGATCAAGGGTTCGTTTCTTATCCCAGAGTGCCAGGGACCAAATGGATTTTTTAAGCATTTTGTATTAAGAATATGTTTTAGTATAGCATTGTGAATGCGAAATTAATCAAATATAATAATATAGTATTTCTGTGCCACTTCAACAACAAATACTAAAAAGCAGAATAAAATAAATATACCTATAAGAGGGCTCCCATACTCCAAACATGATTTTTTAGCTCGCTTTTGGTACGGAATCCTTCGTGCACGAGTCTGACTGGCACTTGGCTGGTTTTCTTCTTTATTATTTACTGTGGCTTCGCCTGCGTAAATTATATCCTATGTCACCGCGTATGATGAAGGCGAAAGGATTTTTAAAATAGGTGAAGGAGTTTCGGAGTCTATTAAACGCAAACGCACAAACAAATCTATTATAATATTAGTATATTGGCTTTGTACGCCTAAAGCTTAATGGAATAATCTAAATTTATTATAGAAATTTTATTAGAGATAACCAATTGCTACACAATTAAATATATCCAAAACTTTAGTACAGTATTTATTTCCTCTTTTCAGAAAATTAATACTAATAATATATTGCTCTATTGATAAACGCTATTATGAACTTCTGTTGTTATTGAACATTCCTTTACGAGCTAGGGTCTGAAAACTTTCTTATTGAAATTAATCTGTATTCAATCTCGAAGAATCTCAGTAAAACGAATTTGATGTTGCCTTTTACACTTTTTTATATAGCTACGATCTTTACCTCTCTACCTACTTATATATTGTTTTCGATATTAGAAAGAAATAAATGTATTTATTCCGGTGGACAAACAACTAGACATTAAGCATTTACAATAAATTGATTACAATATAAAAAAGCGTTACACGTTGCACCGAAATAGGCAGCCAATCACTTTCAGATTGCTAAGCCTGATGCTATTCGTTCATTTCATTTTCATTTTATATGTAGAAATTAATTTATTCACTTGACATTGGCAGAATAGTGCGGAATGCGCAGACAAGTCATTAATAAAAGAAGAGGAAGAAGACTTTTGGCGCCTTATTGTCTTTTTTTGACACATAGATGTCGAATGGCGACATAAAAACCTCTTACAATAAACAAACAGAATCAAAGAAAGAAAGAAAAAAAAAAACATTACAAACAAAAATTTCATTTAAAAATAGTAGGTAGTTAAATCATTATTATATAAGTGTATTGAGTAAATTTATTTATATTTTAAAATAAATCATCCATTACATTCACAATAAGTAGTAACAACACGCACATATATATTTAACAAAAATTATTATTTTAATAAATTAATATTAATCCATTACAAAAAGCCGCTGTATATACGAGCCATTTGCATTATGTATACCTAAAGCTACTTGTGCATCCAAAAGATATTTTTTTATTTTGGTGTAAACCAACGCTCGATTTTATAGCTCTTAGATATGGCGGGATATGGTTGCATATTTCGGAAGCGGCATAGCGAAAAGCCTCTTTAAAAGAAGCCGAATTATGTCGTTGTATAGATAGTTGTTTGAACATTGTCTTCTCTCAGTCTGCCCACCACCAGCGACCCACTAGAGTTTATTGTATAAGTATAACGGTTTCTTTGAAATTATTAACAACTTCCTTCTGGATTTCATTTTAAGGATCAAGTAGTCGTTTTGATATGGGGTGACATGACACCTGGCAGGCACAGAAAAACAAAAACGAGCGCAGGCATTTTGTACACGTTGTATGAGTCGCTCAGTCCTACTCAGTAAACGTGGTCCATAAACGGCATCATTGAGCTTAGAAAGCACCGGTGATTCGGTTAAGTGTACACGCAATTTCTCTAACAGAGATGCCCTTCTATTATGGGACAAACATCAGTTGAAAGCTTTTTATTAAATAAATATTTATTTAAGCTATAATTTTATATACAAACGAACTTTGCACATTTTTACTGTACTAAACTTCTAGTTATATTGACACTGTATGTTTTCCAAATGAAACAAAATTAGGTTTTACATGTTTTATATAAATAAATAGAATTATCTAGAGAACCTCCTCTGTTTTTCGTCGGTTAAAAATGTAGCTAACATTAATACATTAAGACTCTTTTAAATACTAGCAAATTTATTCCAGTAGTTACCATAATGGGGCGTATTCTACAGAAAATCCTCTTACAACAGAGCTCTCAACTAAATGCAAATTGTTTGAATAACATTAAATTGGTAGTTTGGGACCGCTTTTTGTTCGCTTCGCTATTCACCTAGCTGCTGTTTCTTGTATGTTTCCTCATAATGTTTTATTGGAAAATAAGAGAAAATATATTTCATAATCATCAGCCTTCCCTATGGATCCGATTAAAGGAGAATGGGACATGACCCACCACTAAGACTCAGCTAATTTATTCATTAATGACTACTGATGCAGCCAAGACCAACGTCTTGACGTCCTTCCCGAATAACGGGGGAGTTCTAGATAATAAATGTTCGGTCACCCATCCTATGACCGGCCATCGCTAAAGTTCCCGTTTTACCCTTTGGGTACTGAACCCTGAAAAGGTCTATTAATTCATATTAACTACCTTTAAACAAACATTTCTCCATTGCAAACTCTTCATAATTATAAGTTAGAACGATATTTGGCCTGCGTGCAAGTTCTTTCATTCAACCAAGGTCATTTAGAAAATAAACTGTAACTAACCATGTAACATTATACTAACACAAGTAAAATAGAAAAGTAAAATAACTCGGAAGGTCAAACATGTGTATGGGTATATTTTATAGCGGAATTCATATTATTGGGTCTAATTTGTAATGACAAATTAAACAAATTTTATTATAACTTTACAAAACGCGAGAATTGTTGAATAATAACAAAATAATTTGTTTATTTGTTTATCCTAACATAAGAGTACGTAATAATTTTGTACGTATAAGTGTGACAAGAAACATTGCGTCATTAATTCTTGGTAAATGAATTGTAAATTTTGCAATTCTCAGGGCAAGACGCAATATTAATTACTTCAAACTTTTGTTGAGTATTTATTTTAGACTTAGTTCACGTTATACCTATTAGAATTATCATTGCTTTCTTTACTTATTTTAATGTACTATCTACTCATATAACACACTCTTACGACTTTATTAGGGTTCTATGGAATCTTGGACTCATTTCAATAGTGACGTGAATCAGTTTACAAAATGTACAAAAATTCTTTGATACTTTTTTACACACAAGGAAACAATGACACCGATGACAGAGTATAAGCACGGAATTTTGGAGGCCCCCAACGTAACCTTTTTTATTTTTGACCAGAGTGGTAAGTTTAAATTTTACAGTAACGCGTTCACTAGTGAGAGCGCTAAGAATTTGTATGGAGAGTTGTAATAATTGCTAGTTATTGCTAGAGGCGCTGTGCCGGTTCATGAACAAACATTGTCTAACTAAGCAAGGGCTTAGTAAGGCATTACCTATCGTTACAGGTTTGGTGATTTTTATTTAAGATATGCCTTGTTTTAGGTTAGTGAAAACGGGCATAAGCCTAAGCGCTCTGTATCACTTGTTTAATTTAAAAGTGCCTGTTTGCCTTAATTAATTATGATTAAACGTAGAAAAGGTATATCTTACCTTAACGACCTTTTCGTCAAGTAACCATTGCAGCGCTGTGTTGGAGGTGTTGGCGAAGGCGGCCAGCGCTGCGCGCTCCCATCCCACCTGCTCCCAGTGGTCTGTCATGATGGCAGCGCATAGCATCGCCGTAGAGCAACTAAACAATAAAGGTGCGTGATTTATTGAATCTTAGCAATGTTGTATTTATGTATATGTAGTAAATGCCTCTACAATCGCTTTTGAGCTTGGAGAATTTCTTTTTTTAATTTTCTCCTATTTCTATAATAATATCAAAACTTTTTGTTTTGAAATTGCAGATTTTTTGATCTACAATAAACTCTTTTATTTTGTATTAGCTGTTTTCCCAAGACTTCGCACGCAAAAATATACCCCGTATGATGTAGTTACCTGTACGTGAAAGTATTTTTAAAAGGTTTGGAGCCTATTCGATGCAAACAAACCTTTTCTATTTATTTCTATTTAATATTAGTATAGATGTCACATAATTTAATTTGTGAACCTTCAATAGAGGCCTTCATGGTTAAAATCCATTTATTTATATTGCACGATCGTGTTTAGGTCACCAACTGATGAAAATTGTGTTGTTCTGTGATATGATAACTTTGTTTTAGTCAAGGCCTGCTCGTAAAATACAGCGTCGAATTAAAGGGAAATCAAATAAAACCTCTATTACCTTTGTAATAGGATTTATTTGATTGAATAATACTGCGACCGCGTTCTGTTCAAAGCTGTATTTTTAACAGAATAGCACTGCTGATTAAGTCTATCTTCATGATTTCTTGATTTTGTCTCGTTCTCTCTTGTGTGTGACTTTTATTATCAATAATACTGAAAAGTGTTATCGCTATCATATCGGAGCTCAATAGCGCATTGGTTAGAGCGTTCTATCTGCGATATGGTTGCTAAGCAAGTAGTTTCAAAATAATGGCAGTGGCCAGACATAAAATTGGTCACCAAAAAAATATTATATCGAACTCCTCAGTGGTGTATAAGGCACGTTGTTCCAGGCTGCACCTGCTGTCCTTAACATCCACCAATATGTACTGCCCGCGTGGTGGGTCATAGGCGTCATGGCCCATTCTTCAGATTCGATACGATTCTATCCATAGATAAGGCCATTGTTAACAAATAAATATTGACACTTATATTCAACCTTTAGACACCAAAAAATAATGCTTTTAGTCATAGTATTGTTCAAATCAAATATTTGTTGAAGCACAACTGAGGCTTTGAGTCTACAAACAAAACGAAACAAAGGAGCTCCAAAACGTAACCGCAAGTTATAACCGAACTAAAAGCTTGTACGAATGAATGTCTTTGTAGTAACATGAAAGGATTATTGTGTAACTCTAGTTTCCTTTATAGTCTAAGAGTTCGTGACAAAAAAGTGCAAGAGTTTTAAATGATTGTTTTTTCGGTTCAGTATCTAGTACGGAGGTTAGGTTCAGGGACATCTAATAGCTGACTCTTGCAACAACTCCCGTGACGTGCTGTCTATGTGTCTCAGTATTTTTTTCTTTACCTACTAATATTAATTTAGTAATTAATAAAATTTCACCCATTACAAAACTCTTTTTCGGTATTTCAAAACAACTTCTGGGGTGTGCTAAGCCACTGTATTCCACGATCTGAGCAGTGCATATATTTTTTTATATTAAGATCAAAGTTCTCACGCATTTTTAACTATTTTGAAACTCTTGTAATGTATGTTCTCAATCGATATACTTCAACCGCACTATCTACAGCAAAGCGATCGCCTAACTCTCTCGTTATTCTATAGACCAATCAAGCCATAGCCATATTAACGTTATCAATGAATCTTGATATTCTTATATATATATTTATATTAATTATGTTAATAATTATTTAAAATTTCTTTTTTTTCTTTTCGAAATAGTCTTGTCTAAATTTAACATTTTATAAATGCAGTCTTACTTTAATAATTCAGTAAACTACATCAACTAAAACCATTGACTAAATATATAAATAATAAAACAAGAATATCAACATATTCTTTGATAAAATCAATAAAACGTTCTTATTGCTTCGGCTAGAGTTATAGCGTGTCAGCTAGGTGGTCAGTTAGCGCAGGGGTTTCAGTACCTGATTTCGGGACTAAGTACCGAGTGAGTACTTCTAAATACTGAAATATCAAGCTTTATATTTGATTTTTTAAGAATTGATGTTTAATTTAATAAAAGATATTATCTTGAAACATGTATTTATATGAGATATTACCTGGTACTTGTCTTTTATTGAACCGTCAATCTACTTATAATTAGAATATGCTTGTAATATTGTAAAATGCAATTATAAAATGTGGTTTTTAATTAAACAAATTAATTTATTTACAGAACAGAACTAAACAAATTAAATAATGTCATTAGTCCAGAAACGGATGGTGTGTTAGCATACTAAGAAATGCTGATTTGACTAGTCTTGTTGTAAGGTAGTTGCTAGTTTTAGGGACATTATTTTTCGAAACGCGGTTCCGTGAAGACGTGTATTCGGAGTAGTGTGAAAGTGTGGTTGAATCTACAAGTTTTACTTCATTTAGTAAACTCTTGCACATTTTTGTCACGAGCTCTCCGTCTATTATTTGAGGACATATTTGCTGGAACTTTCTACTAAGCCGCATTCGGAATTGGCACAAATATGATAACAGCGTCTGCGAGTTTCAGTGGGCTCTTGTCTGATTAACATAATGCTTACAGGGAGTTATTGTATTTACTCTGAAGATTATGCAAAAGGAAAAAGTTACATTGTCTTATTTTTTTCTTTCCGAACATCGAGTTGAAAGTTATTAAATTTTTTTTCTTGTAAGTTACATTAAGTAGTACTCCTAATTTTTAAGATGTATTAGGATTTATTGCTAAGTAGATTAAATGAGTGTTAATGTATTGGTTTCTGTCAACATTAAAATATATATCTACCAATGAGTTGCAGAGAAACAGTAACAATACTAAAAACCAGAATACATTAAACATTTAAGGGGGCTCTCATACAACAATCGTATTTATTTTGCTATCACCGGGCTGTATTTCATGAACCGTGATAGTTAGACAGTTGAGATTTTCACAGATGATGTAGTTGCTGCTATAACAATAAATACTAAAAAACGACTGGCAGTGATCTGTTTTTTATTATTTCTACAATCTAAATTATTGATAGAACTTCAGATGCCACTCGATAGACATACTTATTATTTGAGCATAACTTATTATTATTTGAAACTTACCAGTCTTTTTATTCATGAAATCTTTACGTTACATCTGTAATATTTTTCTATAAAACATTAGCGTTGAACTAGTTGACAGTCGACAGCGTTGTCTCAATCAAATAAAACCTACTCCAAAATATAATAAAGGTTTTATTTAATGGAACCTCTGCTGATTCGAATACACTTAATGTTATTAATTTTGATCAATTATGCATTGGCAACACTATAATTAACCCTTTTTTCAATCCGGGCGATTGCTCTAACCACTGAGTTACCCAGGATCTAACAGGAGTGACGAATCTTTCAAGCACTTGTTGCTTTTTCGTTACTACAGTGCGTATTTTCATCAATGTTCAGTGTTTTCTGGCATTCCACTCATACAGCCGAAAGAAATTTACCCATAAGGCCAAAATAAATATTTTTACAAATATTTAAACTAATAATAATAATAATAATATTTATTTCCCAAGTGTGTGTGTATGTGTGTGTGTGTGTGTGTGTGTGTGTGTGTGTGTGTGTGTGTGTGTGTGTTGGGGATTTTCTCGACTTATTTATACTGCAGTATTATTGGGTTCATTTAGTAACTTACAGGAAATCTTCTGTGTGAGTCCATGTCAGAAGCATATTAGTAACCAGATACTTTGCTTTTCGAACGGCTTCAAGTCTAAAATCGCCGCGAGAGAAAAGTTTATTATAAATATATGGGAATAGAAAATGGCCAAAACGTGTCGAAAAAGTTGTTTTTGTAAGAGGTATTGGAATTTTAAAGACGCGTTTTTTAAGCATTTCCTTATAGCATTCTGATGTTAATACTACTCTGTGCATATGAGTCACAACCCGAACCAGAAAAAGTTTTCTGACGCTAAGGACTTTGGCTTGTTCATACAGTGCGACAGTTGAATATAGTATTATTTATTGTAATGTTGACAATTACGAGTAGCTTTTTGGAATACAATATCAACTTAATTTTACATCCATCATACGACACGCGACAGGGAACAATTATCTGAAAGAAAAAATAAACAATATTTGAAGTATTGACCGACATTGGTTTTACGGTCCAACCCTCTCTATAATTCTATGTTACGTGTTTATAAATAAACATATTTCATCGCTCTACCATGAAAGCTTTTTTCATGACAACAGTTATTAAGGGAGTAACAAACGGTGATTTATGCTGATTGATTTCCGCATAAATCACCGGCATAAATCCGATTTGGGATGGAATGATACGAGTAATTACAAGTACTTAGTCGATATGTTTATTTTTCGATGCTGATTAATTTTTGCATTGATGTTTTAAAACCGACTAACAAGTTTTAAAATATCAATGCAAAAATTAATATATGTTTATATATGTATTATATTTTATATGATAATATTTATTACATTATAGTATATGTAGGTAAATTATAATAATTAAATTATAATTAAGTTACAATTGTCAATTATGTATATTTATAAAGTGTTTATTTGTACACCATCCACTACCCCATCATTAGGTCTTTTATATTTAACTCAATCCCAAGGTTGCCTGGAAGAAATCACTTTTAGTGATAAGGCCGCCAATTGTAGTCCTCCTCCCTGTTTTTGTCATATAAGTGTATATTGTCTTTGTGTGTGCAATAAAGAATATTCTATCTATCTATCTATTTATCTAACAAGTAGTGTTGTGGAGTAAGTATTAATGTTAATACTTCATCGGTAACTTACTGAGGAGTGTCAAAAAGTCGAATGCACAAGTTTATTTATTACTCTGTGGGTGTCTAAAGGCCTCTTATTTTGAACCAATACCTATTTATATATGCATTCGATTTTATGCCTTGACCTGCTTCTCTAAACAGAGTATTTCTATTGTCTATCAATATTAGATTATTTTTTGTAAACCTGTAAAAAATTACTTTGAAGAAGGTATCGA